TTGAGGCCCAAGCAGCGGCCAAATCACCAAATGTCCACTTTTGAGGCTTGAGCAGCGGCCAAATTACCCAATGCCCACTTTTGAGGCTCGAGCAGCGGCCAAATCACCAAATGTCCGCTTTTGAGGCTCGAGCACGCAGCGGCAAAAGGGACGCAGCGGTTTTTGGTCTTCAGACATTTTCATCATGTATATATATATATATATTTGGTTGACTGTTTCGATTGGACAGCCTGGCCATGTGTGCCACTCACGGAAGGTCGCCTGGGCGGGCTGTTCTGTTCGTTTGGAGCTACGCTCCAGCGTCGCTTGCGCCACTCACCCTCGCGGCCAACGACCAAACGAGCGATGCAGCCACAGGAGAAGGAGCGCGCCATGAGAGAGTGTGGTAGCCCAGTGGTTGAACACGACTGGCGGTCTGCTGGCTGGCAGCTGGCTGTAGAGGAGGGGGTTGGAGTGTGGAGACGCCATTGCTGGTTTTTGAGTAGAAAAAGCACAGGTTGCTCTGGATCGACGGCTGACGGTTCTGAAGCTGGATGTAAGGTGTAACCCCCTCCTTACCAGTAGCAGTCGAGGTTGAGGAATTCGGAATCACTATTTTTTGTGAAAGGCCTTTACTGGTAATGGGATATAGAGTGCATTAGAGTGCCCAAACTGGATGCGTGTAGATGTCGAATCTCGAAGAGCCTCTGGAAATAGCTGTCATGCAGGTTCTGATGGACACCCTTCTGCTTTTCACCCTGCTCATCGCACACCTACTTGGCAGGCTCCCGATCGTGATGTTTTAGGGGCGACTTCATGAGGCCCATGCAGTTCCCTTCTCAGGTCCTCAAAGAGAATTCTGCTAGGACCCACCGTCGGGGTGGTTGGAGTGGACACCCCGAAAAACCTCTTTTCGGGACTATCAATAGACACCCCTTAGGCTTAGGGTGTCCTGGTCTGTTTTCCATGGCAATTTCAACCAATAGGATGGGTCTTTTATGGCCTGGGGCCCTGGTTCACTATGTAGCGAGTTCGACCCACAGCTGGGTGCCATAACCCAGCCATGTGCTTCCTGTTTGTCGATGGTCCAAGGGAGAGGAACCTGAGAAAGTGATCACCACCATCTGCCAAATGACTGACACCACTAGTGGTGCTTCCTGTTCCCAGTAGATCCCAGTTACCACTATGGAACCAGGGTTTCGTTCGGCAACCCAGCTATAGTGGTAACTGGATGCCCTGGGCTGGCTTGTGTCGGAGAAGGGTTGGACTCCGATCCCCTTCGATTCGTCGCCTTTCAACTGGCGTGAGGTTGCAACAGTCCATGGGCAGCCCGGATGCTCAGATGGATGGCAGTTCGGTGACATGTCGTCCAGCATGCAGATGCCGATTCGGGTGATTCCTTGGAATTCCTCATCCAAGATGATGTGCAGGTTCGGATTGTAGTGGTAGAGTGGCTGGTAGGTGCCCCCCCCAAGGAATAGAACAGTTGACCAAAAAGCAAAACCCTTTGGGTCAGTTCTGGGGGCATTCCGGCGGCCACTGCCCTCCCGCAACGGACCACCGGTTTGGGTTGCCGCTTCGGAGCATGGGGGCGTTGCCGCTCCGACGTGGCCGCGGCGCGTCCACGCGTTCCAGGCAGCGAAGAGAAGAAGATGGAGGCGCTCGCGAAGCGTCCGGGGGCTTAGAGTGAGACCAGTTCCAGGTGAGGTGAGAAGAGCCTTTGAGGTGAGAAGATCCCCACCAGCAGCAGCACCCGGCACTCGCACCCGGTCTCCCGGAATGGAGGCGACGGTTGTAGACTTCCAAGTCGCAGCTGGTGACCTGTTGGAAGCTGCCACTGGGTTTTGCGGTGTCTTTGTCCGAAGGGACGAAGGGAAGACAGTCCGAGTCCATGACGTGAAGGGAAGACAGTCTAGACCTTTTAGACCCAAGTTCCTGCATGACTCACTTGAGATCCCATCACTTCGTCGCAGTCTGACTTCCAACATCTTCCAACTGACAGCATCCAGTCTCTGGTTCTTGGGCGTTCCAGTCGGGGACGGTGTCCAAGAAGGGGTGGAAAAGGTGTTGGTTTCTTCCAGGGGTGCCAGAGGGGGCGGCAAAGTGGATAGTGGATGCGGCAAAAACGCCACTGGCTCACCTTGATATAGAATGCCAGCAGTTCCAAAGACTAAAAAAAACAGTATCCATGCCCAGAACATCTGCTCACTTCGGGGCAAGGCACTACCTCTTTGTAACTCCTGGTGTAGGTCATGGAAGGTGGAATCTACTTGTTTCAAGGGCAAGGTCTGCTCAAGCAAAACGATCTCCATGACCATCCACCTACCCAGCCTGCTTTTGCACTGTCTGACAGGCGTGGACAGGCACTTCCAAGGTACGGTCCCAGCCGAGTGTTGGGACATTTCGAGCCCAACAGATCTGATCGTCGAAGCATCGGGGAGAGCCGCTCGCTCTCCCAGCGGAGCGCTTTTCCTTGCCCGTTTGGGCTCCAGTCGTACCTCCTCAGGTTCGGTATCTGGATTCTCTGAACCCACCCCAGTCCCACCTTCCCATAGGCACCGCCGAGTGGTCAGAGGCGCCGGACCGCGCGGTCCGCGGCGGGCGCGTTGGACCTTGGAAACCGTCGCGACGGGCCCTCCCGGTTAGGGCCGTCGAGGTGGGGGTGGTTTTCATGGACCTCCCGAAGAAAAAGACTCTTGGAGCTAGAATTCGACACCCCGGTGAGCCGCCTTCGCCTTTTTTTCGGGGGCCCTAGTAACTGGGCCCCGTTTCCATTTTTGCATGATATACATTGTATTGAAAGAAAGAATCATGACGATTGAATCCGTCGCATTTCTTTTTTTGGGGCGTCTGTGGAGGGAAGAACGTTGAGCACACGGCCGGGGTCTTGGTTTTAGTCATTCATGTTCTTCGTGCAGAGGGGGTGAAGCTGGAGCCGACCATTGGTACTTTTGGAACTCACTTTGACAACCAGTGACCCAGCAACTCGACCTTTCCTTTTGTGGCTAGGACGTTCGGCCCCCTCTGCAGCTCAGCCGGCTCGAGACGGTGCGAGCCATGAGCATGGGAGCCTTCGCTTACTTTTGTGGGTGCCTAGCTGTGAGCTGGGCCGATGGTCATGCTCAAATAGAGGTGCATGTGTGGAGCTGGGGCACTGTCTGGTTGAGACACGGTGCGACTGGAGCGATCTCATGCGAACTCTTTGGGTATCCCTTCGGTTGGTCCAAGAAAGCACCACTACGACCTGCCCCTAGGGATCCAGTCGTACCGAATCTCAGACGGTACGACTGGACCCTCCTGGCACCTACATGGACAGTGCCGAACACATCACCTAGCTTGAGAAGGTACGACTGGATCCCCAGGGTATGAAGTTGGTGCCTCAACTTCTTGAAAGAGGGGTGACAAGGCGGGTAGATGACTTACTTCAGGATCTTCAGGAGCTCAAGGAAGCACGTGTCATCACGTCCTGGCCAGGACCAAAGGATGTGAGTGAAACGGCCATGACGTGGGTTCCATGGGGCCCCCGCGAGGCCGTTCGTTCATGGGTTCCACCACCGCTTCATCTCCTTGGATGTCCTGAGAGGTCATCCAGGACCTCCTCCCATTCCAGGACCTTCCAACAGGTGACCGGTGTTGGTACATCGACCTCTTAGAGGTGTCCGGGGCGCTGGGGCTGTCCTCCAGTCCCAAAACACCACCGACCTCCGCCTTTGGAAGCTCCGACCTCGTCCTCCCGCCCGTGGGCAGGCGGTGAGGCCGAAGGTGCCGGAGCGACTGGTGGCCATTTGGAGCGGTCGAGCGGTGGTTGGACGTTGGGACATGGGCGGATGATGTGTGGGGCAAGGGAGAGAACGCCTAGGTCTATTTAGCAGCGTCTCAAGCAGAGTGTGAGTGAGCAATCCGTGAGGTGGAGAAAGTTGGAGAGAGATTTGACTGAAAGGTCGAAGTATGAAAGAGCCGAGCTGGGCCAGCTGGGCCAGCCAGCCTTGGATCCGGCCGAGGCCACCTTCCAGTTCATCGTGACAGACCTTAGCGGCTACTCCACTGGGAGGGGTCTGTTGGCGCAGGATGCGTCGAGGACGCTCGGTTGGAAGAAAGCCAACAAGGTACAAACTGAGATGGGGTCCAAACCTTGCAGGAGATGTTGAACGAACAGTATACCAGGACCCTCCAAGGGGTGTCCAATGGACCACCCCACACTACCTCTAGGATCCTACAGGCTTCCATTGGGCACCCCTTGGAGGGTCCTGGTAGGCTAAGGTTCATTTCACTCTGCGAAGCTCGGCGGCATGGAGGTCCATACATGTCAGGCCCGAGGCCTAGGATTTCTGTGCACTCCCCCAGTCCTTCTGACGCTTGATTTGACCTTTTGAACGCTACCTGCGGACAGCACTTCTCAGGCGGATCATGCGGGTGGAGACGGTGCAGCCGAAGGCGGGGATGGAGGAACTGGAGACCAACATGACATATGCGCCTCGGTTCGCTGCCCGCCGTCCGTCCGGCGGCCGCCCGGCGCGCGGGGCGGGAGGCGAAAAAGGGCGGGGTCGGCATGAACTTGCGCGAACCGGCCCATGCCAGGACCACGGTGGTGGGGTGGTTATTGGATGTTAAAATATCAGGGGTGTCCATGGTCACCACTCTCCGTGGTCCTGGTGGTGGGCGGTGATGGTTTGCACTTCTTCTTGCGCGAAGAGGATCGGGGTGGTGCGACGGCAGGACATGCGACACCACGACTCGGACATGAGGTAAGAGAAACCCATGTTGCTGGAGGTTCGTCTGTAGTTCCCTACCTAAGTAAGTTGGATGAATGGGTCATTATTGGTTCGCAGCAGGTGGAGGAGAAGTGTGTATATATATATATATATAGAGAGAGAGAGAGAGAAAGAGTGAAGTTGCCAGCATGGACTTGGGGAATGGAACGTTCAGGACAAATCCTTTCCCTAGAGCCTGAAGGAGCCTTCCAAGAAAGATGCTTGAGCTGGTCTAAAATCATCTAAAATCCATTTAAAATCATCTAAAATCCATTATAAACACTACCTGGTGCTTCGGTCTTGTCCATTGAATCGGCGGTTTGGTGCTTCGGTCGGACTCCATTGAATCGCCGGAATCGCCGCTCGGGTCGTGGCTGGCCTGGTTGGCCCGCCGGAGTGAGTCGTAGCTTCGTTTCGTTTCGGTGGGACTGGGGTGGGGTTTAGAAGGTAGGTCCAAATACCTGAAGTGAGGTACGACTGGAGCCCTAGGGCCAAGTAAAGCCTCGCTTAACACGAATCGTTCTGAACTCCGGCGCGTTGGTGCACCGCTTGCGCTGACCAAATCCTAGGTCATGACCGTGAATGAGTCCTTCCATCTGACGGGCGGCAGTCCAAAGACCATTCCCCTCTGTCGGCACTTGCCTTTTGGACCGTTTGGAGGAAAGGCACCTGGGCGGAACTGCACTGGGTGGAACTGATGCAAAGTCGGTCTGCAGACGGACAACGACGGACACTGGCAGCGAGCGTCGGCGTCGTCTGGGCATCCAAGCGTGTTTCGCGTGCGTCCGCGAGGGCTTCCTTGAAGGGAAGTGTCGACAAGGCAAGCAACACCGGTGTTTTGGTGTGTTTTGGTCGTGCTGCTGGTGCTCCCCAAAGGCTTACAGGGAACAAGATGGAATGGACGCGACACGGCAGGGGCAGAAGGGTGACACATGGTCTACGCGGAAAAACCGCGCGCCACTGAGATCGCAAACGCACGCCACACAGAGGATCGCTGGCCTCCTGGCCTCCTTGGGCTGCTGGAGAGGCCTCACCTCATCACCTCATCACCTCATCCCCCCCCCCACCTCCCAGCACCTCCCCATCACCTCTCGGACCTACGCGTCCCACCCCTCGGGCTACGCTGGTTCTGTTCTTCGACAGGACGGTCGCAGGCCGGAAATGGACCGGCACAAAGAATCCTTGGACCCTCCGTAAAGAAGGTCGAACCCGATAAATAACAAGGGTTTGCACCCTCCAAAGCCTTCTTTTTGAGGGTGCGGATCCCTAGGGCGACACAAGAATCCCACATGATGACGACGTGGGAAGAATGATTGGACCTTCATCGGACTGGCGTGTTCCGTAGGGAAGGGAGAGAGAATGACCCTCCCACTGGCGATTTTTGGGGATCCAGCCAATCCACTGTACCCTCGTTCCCTACGAGTCGCACTCATCAGTCATGAGTTGGAGGCCATCGCTAGTAGGTTGGAGGCTATAGTAGGGGTCTCTATTTCCGAGGCTGTAGTTTGGTCTTTATTTCCGACTGCACTCGACTGCACCGCTCTACTGACCTCTCCACGTTTGGGACATCCATCGAACGTCTTTGGGCCATGCGACCAAGACATGCCATGAGGCGGTCTTCCAGGATCTCTTCGCGTGGGTTTCGGACCCCATGCAGAGCACCTACCTGGGCCGCTTGGTGCAACCGGTGTCTTCCATGATTCAAACAGGTCCCCTTCACCAGGATCACATTCAGATACATTCAGTCCCTGAAATGCGGCCAATTTGGGTTCATGCCACTTCACTGGTTTCCCCCGCTTGCGCAAAAGGGGGCGGCGTCAAGTGTTGCCAGCTGGCGTCCGACAGACTTGGGCTCTTTTTGCTCCAACATCCTCACAAACCCTCACGGGTCATTTTCACCAAGATGTCCTGCGTTCGCCTGTTGCGCCAATGCTAGCACCCGCGGGCGGGTCTTTCGCTGCGCTCCCCGACCTCCTAGAGCCGCACAACGCCACGAGGCGAAAGCGTGATCTCCAAGCGTCCCTGTTCCCTTTGGCGACGAAGGGGCGAGTCCGGCGCGCCGGGCGCGACGGTGCTGTGTGCGGCGGGAGATGTGCCCGTGGAGTTGAACATGAGCGTGAGCTCCAATGTCACAGGTGAGGGTGAGATTGGGGTGACACAGGGTGACGCATGTTGACGCAATGATTCGCAAGTTGCTTCGCAATTTGCAATGCTTTGTTTGTGAATAGCATCATACATAGTAATAGTATCCAAGGCACTAGTAAGCTAGTATGGGTAGCCAGTCTCCCTCAACTGTGGAGGATGGCGAACAAGGACGTTGGTTCACACTATCACGGGCCCAAACATGTGCAGCTGGCTCCATTGACTGGAGATGACAGGCGTACCAGGCAAATTCAGTGAATACTCTTTCCCAGACACTCCATGGGACTGCCATATATGCTTACATTGGGGTGGTTTGAGGGGTCAATGTAGGCATATATGGCATACATGGAGTGTCTGGGTTTGAAATGACAGGAACTTCATGTCCATCCACATTTTTACGGGTTGGAATCCCACTCCTCTGCCGCAAGCGTCGCGGCGTTGGACGTTGGACAATGCGACGCGGAACGCGAGGGGCGCACTTCGCGTGGCGGCCAGGCGAAGTGAAATGGTTCAACAGCAGCTATCAGCTGCGTGGCGGCATGGATGCGCCGATTCGAAGCAAGGTTCGTTGGCTCCGAGCTTCTCTGGTCGACACATGTCTAGCATGCAAGACTGCAGTCTGGACTATAGGTCCTTCACGGTGGCGCGGTCAAGGATTTGATCAAACACCCGATGGCACCCG